ACACATCTGAGCAGACATTCATGCTACAGGAAGAAAAAGTTCATGCCTTATAAAAACATTTCCCTACAAAATTCTCTAGAAAGTACTAGTTAAAATCGAAGAAAATACCTAAAATGCATTAAAGGACACAATACTTAAAAGACTCAACATTCCATTTAGAAATATTATTAAAATAGAAAATGTTTATGGAAAGTCTTCTACATGCCAGGCACTATTTTAAGCACTGGAGATGTGTCAGTAAAGTACTAGTTTGCATGGATTTGAACTTTCTTGCTAATTAAGAGGAAGACAGCATACAAACATTACACACACATATTTGAATATGTATACATACATATGTATAAACACATGCATATATGTTACTAGGTGGTGATATGAGCTATATAAAGCAGATAATAATGACTAGAAAATGATGAGAGATGCTATTTTAGACTACGATGAAGAAAGGTGTCTCTGAGAAGGTGGCATTTGAGTAGAAAGCTGAATTCTGTACAGGTATGAGATATGCCTGGAAGAACAATCAGTAGCAAGAACAGCGGCTTTTCACACGATCACAGCTGTGTCACTCTCATCCTTAAGGGTGTTCAAGACAAAACAAAAAAATCCCCCCATGGGATGTCGTAGAGGGACAATGATGCTGCTGCTGAAGAGACCAGTCTGGAGAATATCAGTAGCCATTCCCAATTCTAACACATTGGACATTCTTTTTCCTAATAAAAATTCTCATTTAAATAAGGAGATCTATTTAGAAACTACTGGGCCTTTTTTCTTCCTCCTATGATTACTTTCATTATATTTTGAATACTTTTTTCTCAAGATCAGTAATAAGGTCAGAAAAAAAGAATGGATGTGTGACATAGTCAGACCTATGTCTAAATTGTAGGTTGCACAACCTGTGCAGATTACTTAACTTTTTTGAGTCTGCATTTTTCTCTTTGTTAAAGCTGAACTAATCTCTTGGGTTACTGTAAAAATTAGAATACATGTGAATCCCTCAGCATGGTGCCTACATATAATTAGCACTCAATAACTAAAAACTCAAGTTCTTAGAACTATTTTCTATTTCACTTATGTCAAATTCCATTCCTATTCACACTAACAATCTGCAAAATACAGTTTTCAGAGCATGAGTTGGTTAACAAAAAAGGGCAGATTTATAATACAATGGTTCAGTAAAAAGAAAAAAAAACACTTAAAATGAAAAAACTTTTACTATGTAAATATTATATGATATAAACAGTACCTTGATAATATAGACATTTCTAAAAATTTTGGAAACTAATTTTATATAACTATCAGGCACCAATAAAAAAATCTGGAGGGGGGAAAAAAACTTTGGAAATTAAGCCAAGAAAACTCTTTCAGCAATTAGTGCCATTTTATGTATGTATGTATGTATGTATGTATGTATGTATATGTACGTACGTACATACGTACTGGGGATTAAGCCACAGTCCCAGCCCTTTTTATCTTTAAGAGATATTCATTATACTTACTGGGAAAGAGTTTGGCTCCTTTCTATGGCTGTCACTTCCTGCTTCCCACCATGCAGAACTAACGCTGCTGTTTTGTGAAATAGTTCAATAGAGCAGGCAGTCAATTCCGCTAGGCTTCGAATTGCAAATGCATGGATATCCTGGATGGAAAAACAAAAGAAAGCACAACAAAATAAAACATTA